AGAGAGAGAGAGAGAGAGAGAGAGAGAGAGAGAGAGAGAGAGAGAGAACTTTATTTATTATAAAAATTGCGGTTGTGAGAACTGTGTATACAGATATATAGGCTTATAACAACAACAATATTTTATACTACACTTTTATTTAAATCACTATTTAATACCATATCTCTTTAATATCCATACCATGTGTGGAATACATAACTTTATATCATATTTTTTAAATTACCTACTTAATATCATATCTCTCTTGAAATTACATGAATTTTTTCCTTAAAAATCCACAGAATATGTGGATGTAGCAACCATGACTGTTTTCTTCGTATGAAAACGAAATTGCAAAATGTTTCTTTTAGAACATAAGTAAATTTTCCTGAGTTTCATTAAAATCAGGATAATATTACAGTCAAGAAGTAGAAAGAACTCATTTCATTTCAAGGAACAGTTAAATACATTTTCGTGCGTTTTCTCTAAAAATTTGACATTAATTCTTGTGAGTGAATAAATTTGTAACGTGTTATATTAGTTAGAATAAAGTTTACTGCACGTGTATGATATTGTTTCGAGTAACAATTTTCAAAATGACTAAATCGAATGTATATATCAGAGCAGGTAAAGTTAGCTACTATTTAGGGGCTATGAAGACCTCTCTCGCCGAGATTTCAAATCTACTTAATGAGAATACACATTTTATAGATAGTCTTCTTACTCTAAGTTGTCAACCAATTTGACCCGCGGTACCCAAATAAGACGGCTATGTTGCAGTATGTTCATATTTTGGTTTTTAGAATCCATGGACGCCGGCGAGCTAATCCAGGAGAAGGGAAAAGTGGAAACGTTACAACTTGTTTTAAAAGTAAGTAAAATCACTCACGTATCTCTGCACCTCTCTCCTAAACGCGAACCTGGATGTTGGTGAGCCAATCCGGGAGAAGGGAAAAGTGGAAACGTTATAACTTGTTTTAAAAGTAAGTAAAATACAAAAAAATCACTTTGTAAATTTTTCTGATAATAAAAATTTTTATTTGAAACACAAAAAATATACTTTTAATATCAGAAAATAATTTATTTAGATTTATAAAATGATACTTATATTTCATTACTTTTAAATTTACTTGCATTTTATTTACTTTTAAAACAAGCAAATATTTATTTAAACACAGTTTTTTTTACAATTAAAAAACTAATTTTCTTCTTATAAAGAAACTATTTGCTTATTCTTTTATATAGATATTTTAAAAACGTCAAAGAAATCATTTTATCTAGAAATTCATAAATTTACAGCTCATCTTATAAATAAAAAATATTAATTAATATTTATTATGTTTTCTAAAATGTAACAAATATTTTTTTAAGTTAAGAAAGGAATATACAAGATTCTTGCGGGCATAAAAATATAGAGAAAGCTTGTAACCACCATGTTTTTATAGTCAACCACAACGATTAATTGTCTGAAAAATTGAAACTTTGAAGTTCTAAAGAATGTGCCATCTGGCTTCTGTGTCTTCACTATCTAACACATTCTCCACTCAACGAGTGTCACAGCGATCCGTAAAGTACCGTTTTACAATTTTCTCGTCCAAAGAATTTCTTCTCCCTTAAAAGTGTAAACGGAGAGGGACGGCCGGCCGCAAATGAGCGAGCAAAAGGGATATTCTCTCAGTTACTATGTCGACATTCAGCGGATTATACGGCGAAGAGAGAACCGACAGGGTGGCAAGCGTGCGTTCGCGCAGGAATCCCTCGGAAAATCCTCACTTTGCGGTATCAGACTATGTGATGCGTAGCTTCTACGTGCTTTATGCCTTGCTTCTCCTTTCACGAGCACCTCACCGAAATCAATTCACCCCACCAGATCGAATCCTCGATCCGCCGTGATAGATCCTCGCGATAATTATTCCGTGAGCACCACAAGCGCACGGCAACGCATTTCCCGGCGAGTATCTCCGGCAAGAACGGCGTCGCGACGGTGAAAGTTTTTCTCCTAGGGAAAATCGAGAGCGCTTTGCTCAGAGCGGGGTTGAGGAGACCGTTCGAAAGCCGCCGCCGCGATTCCCGCAAGCGGCACGATGCGGCCCGCGTACGACCGGGAGCATAGACCGTACGCTGGCGTCCGTTTATTACCGTTTTCCTAAATTGATTTCCAATTCTCATGGGACGGCGCGGGACGAGTGGAACGGGGGAGGATGTCGGTGCCGTCCGCGATTGGGGTAGCTACGCGGAGAATCGACTGGTTGGCAGAACGGGTAGAGCAGAGGAGAGGAGAGGAGAGAAGAGAAGAGAGGAGACGAGAGGGATGGGAAGAGAAGCGGACAGAGGGGGGCGAAGGAAGGGCGGCAAGCTGGGCCGACCGGAGGGTACGGTTCGACTAGGTTCTATCGAATGCTCGGTGACCCGTGAGGAAAACGCGAATGCACGAGTTCGGCAAACAGCGCGGCGTCACGTGCGCGCGAGCGAGCTGGGGTTGCGGAGGGTTGCGGAGGGGAGCGAGGGGCGAAGCGGGGCGCGCAAAACGGCCGGGCCCGTGCGATTCGCGCGGGGAAACACACGAGAGAGATACAAAGAGAGAGGAAGAGAATGTGTGACCGTGTAGCGTCGGCAACCGCGAGGATTCATTTATCCTTTCATCACTGTCGTGCGCTTTTCTCTCTCGTTTCGTCCCATTCCGTTGTGTTGCCAGAAACGCGCCTTTAAGAGGCGCAATGAAAGAAACGACGCGTCTGGCGGCGCGGATCCACGGCTGCGATTTTTGCATTTATTTCGAACTTGCAGCTCCTCGCCGGCTTTCCTCTCGCGCTCGTCCTAACCGTAAGCAGACCGTTCCCCGGAAAATCCGGCAACCGTCGAGACTGCGGAGCACCTGATTTGCGAGAAACTTTAAACTCTCCGGAATTTCCGGACACTCCATCCCTCCGCCCTTACGGCGTTTCTCATACCCGAGCTGCTTCCTCTTTCTCGATTTCTCTCTTTCTCTCTCTCTCTCTCTTTCCCCCGCGCCCCGCGCAGAGGAGAAGTATTTCACGACTCGTCGGCAAAAACCTGAAAATTTCATTCGGTGATAATTTCACACTTCGCGAAGTCGCGACGAAGTGCCTCCGCGACGAGTGCTCCTCGCATACCGCCACGAGAGCGACGGGGCGGATAATTCGCACGCGTGTGTGAGCGTATGTGCGCGCAGGTGCGTACGTGTGTGCGTGTGTGTATGTAACGCATATTGTATTTTATCTCGTTCATAATTAACGATAATATTTAACGGTAATAGGCGCCCGGTAGGAAGACAGCAAAGTTAATTAAAAGCGTGAGAAGCGCGCGAGCATATGCTACAGCCAGGAGGAAGTACGCCGAGAATTGGAGCAACATTAAAGAGCAAACATGGATACGGTCTAATTATTTCATTAATTGCGACCACGTCGATTGCGGCCCGTTATTTAATCGTTTAATATTTAATCGTTAAATGAGTCGGCTATATGATGATAATTGAGCTCGCTTTCGGGATATGGTGCATTGATAGTTACAGATTATAACGGAAACATACATGTGTATGTCCACATTCACAGGGCAAGCAGGGTTCCTCCAGTTGGAAAACGCGAGTCGCACTTTTGTTTAACCCTCCGCACACCTCCTGGGCACACTTGATCTTCGCACCTTTCGTGGGCACACTGGAGGTCTATTTTGTCTACGACTATTTTTTAACTGTTCTAAGCTTTCAAAAAATCTGAAAAAATTCTGGAATATTTTTTGAAAAGTCTCTGTTTTAATATACAATCGCTACTTAAGTCAAATGTTTACAGGCTTGATTAGGACAATCCAGCCTTCCCTTCAGAGATTTTCAAGGGTGAAAATTTACTGCGGACAAAATGGACCCAATGTGTCTACGGAGGGTTAAGATTCCTGAACATTCGCCGCGGACATATTGGACTGTGACATCGGAAATGAGAAATAACACTGAAAATTCTTATGTGTCATTTACAAATAAGAAGGTATTATATGAAACAACACTTTTATCGTTTGATTATATTTGTAAAAGGCCCCGAAAAATATCATTTTCCCTTGACAGTCAATATATAGCCTTAAAATTAACGTGATTATGAGAAAAAGTTAAAAAGAGAAGATTGCATTGTCACGTGAATTTTACGATTATTTATTGACTGTCAAGGGAAACAGAATTTTCGGGGCATCTTGCAAATATGCTTAAGTTATTTCATATGACATTTCTGATCACTTAAGCATATTTGCAAGATGCCCCGAAAATTCCCTTGACAGTCAATAAATAATCGTAAAATTTACCCTTTTTAACCTTCCCTCATGATTCGTCACGTTCATTCTAAAGCTATATATTGATGAAAATGATATTTTTCAGGGCATTTTATAAATATGATGACAAAATGACATTAATATCTTTATATTTGGAAACAGTACACAAGAACTTTTAGACGTGCGTTTTCTCGCTTCTGACGTCATCAATCCAAAGTTCTGCGATCTTAGACTAGAAACCATAACTCTGGAAGGATAGTATAAGTAACTTTTACTCATACTGAAAGCCTTATATAGGGTTCTCATCTAGTATTTATTGGGTTATTCGATAAGTTCGTAAAGGTTTTCGCGGTAAACTCAAACTCGATACACCCACAGGTGTATCGGGTTTACCAGGCAGAACCTTATTTTCTTCGTTTCTTTTTTAATTACTTGCGGAAAAATAGTCAATACATTATTGAATAAAGTTATGAACTAACTATGAAAGTATTAGTCTGGAACATTTTATAAAAACTCCTACGAACTTTATGAACAACCCTATATTTCACCACCTTGAAATGGATATTACTACTTTTTATGAGATATTAGAATAAATAAAAATTATTTATCTCTTTATCTTAATCATACCACAGATTATTACTATCCTTTTATTCTCTAAACTTTTTGAAGTAAAATCTTACTCGAAATGAGTAAAAAGTTGCAACATTTTCATTCGAGAAGCAATAGTAAAAGTAAGATAATGGCGCTAATTTTGGATTGAATCCTTTGGATTGGATCACTTTTGGGAATCAAATATACTTGGTTCATAAACTGATGTACTAATGTACTGATGTACTGATGTACTGATGTACTGATGTACTAATGTATTAAAAAATACTCATTATAACGAAAAAAATGGAACAACATTTTTTGTATTATTTATCTTTTATAATTATATTCTAAAGTAACATTCACTAACATTGTTAATATTTAAAAAGGAAATTTAGAATAACATTTACTTTACCGACTTTTTAGATTTGTAAAACCGTTAGCAAGTTGTACTATTTATTTTATATAAATGAAAATAATGTATGTGTAAATTGTGTGTACATTATTAACATAAAATAGAGTATCATATGACCTATTACGTATAATAATTTGTTGATCCATAATTCGGGCTTATACATAAACGTCTCTAATTAATTTTGTTTTATTTAGAATTATCTAACTTAAAATCTAATAATTTTCCATTAAAACTATAGTTTTTGTTGGGGCTTATATTAATAGTATTAACAAGTTCTTTTTATCCCTTACATGATATTTCGAGTCCGGACGGTTTCTATTCATAGAAATTTCTCAGCACGTTGAAGGGTCTCAGATTTTCTGCCCCCTTCTAAAAAATGCTAGGAGTTGGAGAAACTTATGAGCGAAGGGGCGCCCAAAACTGTTAGTTTCTGCGCGACCAGCATTGCGGTAAGTTTTCGTCTCGCCTCAAAAGACCCATGTAGGGTCACAACATGTTTGTGAAAAGTGAAAAATCTGTAAACATTCATAGTAAGTATTCTATTTGCATTCTACATTACTACCTGAATATTGTTTTATTAGTTATTATTTATTTAGTTA